GAGGAAGTGGGAGATTAAAAAGTGTGATAGAACAGATTAAAACTGAAGATAATTTCATTTAGCAAAACGAGACAGAGTTAGATGGGATGCACAGTGAGGCTTACTGTCTTTCCTCTCTGCTAAGCTACCTGCTTCTCCTTGAATTGGCAGAAAGCAGTTCCAGCATAAAATTTGCTGTTCCTATTGTGAATCCCAGTACTCCATCTAGTGCTTTGGTTTCGCATGTGGGGGCATGTTAAAGAAAGATTAAATTAAGCAAATGCTTACATGCTTTCTTCCCACTTTGTGAACAACAGCAACCAGTGAAAAACCATGTGCCAGTCAGGGTGAGTCTAGAAACAGAAGCTTATTGCACCTCTTCTCCTTTACCGCTATCGAAGGGAGCTGACAAAACGGAGGTGCAGCATGATAAAGTGGGAAAGCCAGTTTTCTCAAAACCTGTATCCTGCTGAAGAGCTCCTGCATCCTGAGAAAGCTGGTTCTCCCACTTTCCATTGCAGCTCACAGCTCACCAATTAGCTTCTCAGTAGGCTTGTTCTGAATCAGATTTATTGTTTGTCTTGAACAAGCCCATTGAGCAAATATTTTGTGAGTTACACAGTAAGAACTTTGTAGGAAGGCTTACTATTTTCACCCCTTTGCTGAAAGAGGAAGGAGAAGAAATAAGATGGCAATTACTCAATAGAAAGAAGAGTATTACTCCTTCCATCCTTCCTTCCTTCCTTCCTTCCATCCTTCCTTCCTTTCCTCCCTCCATCCCATCTCATTTTCTTATTTTCTATATTCTTTTTTCTTAATCTTTTAATTTTGTATACTTTTATCTATTGAAAAATAATGAAAAAGAAGAAGAAAACTCCATGGAGGATGGCAAGGGGGGAGAGAGGGAGTAGTGTATAGTAAAGTGGGAGAAATTAGAAACCTGACAGATTTCTTGTTTTAAAGTGCAGCTCCCTAGTCTGCCTCTGGCTGCAAGGTACTGCTATGTACAGAGATGTGCAGCAGAGGCACCCAGCTCTTTCCATGTAAAAGACAAAATAGGTTGACAGCAAAGAAAAGTGCCCAAGATCTAAAAGCAATGGTGGGCTTGCCCCAGTTGGAAGAGGCCAACATTACAGCTAATCCCATCCCATACAGGTTATTCGTCTGGTTGAGAGAATAGTTAGTGAAGCACAACAAAGTTTAAACATCTCAAAGCTGTTTTATAATTGCTGTTGACTCTGATGGAAAAACACAATTTAAACCAGAACAGCCAAACATGACAAGCCCATCTCAATGACGGGGACATAGTAGAACAAACCGTACTGCATGCCAGGGCCTGTTTGATCTACAGTTAGATAGATGTAAGCAGAGAAAGGCACTTAGTTCTAGCTAGAAAGATAGTGCATGCTGGTAGTGAATGTTAAAATAGGAATTAAAAGAGCAGAGACATTTAAAAGAAATGGAGATTAGACATCACTAGAAGTAGAATTTAGGTTACAGTGAGTGACAAATCAGAAACCCAGGAGAAAGAGAAGTGGTTAAGCCTTGGATCAATCATGGGGAAGTGTGGGTGGCAACAGAAGGCGGGAGGCTGATTCAAAATTCAAAGAATGAGAACTTAGAAAGGAATGAATGACAAGCAGAAACACTTCTGATACCTTCAGCTTCAAATCTCTGCCTAGGCTCAGTTTTTTTTTCTAAATAAATCTTTCTTGCTAGCATACTTCATGTTGGAAGATTTCTTTTACAGAATAAATGAAATGAGCACCAATTTGGGTGACATCTGTTCACTCATTTATATGTTATTTTATATATAGATGGAACCCCCATGAAGCTCTAATGACAAAAGGATGCAAAAATTCAGAAAATCCAAAAGGGGATGAATTATTTTTTACAAGGGGATACATAAAAGTTCCCAAAATGTTAGCAGAAAAAGAAAGCCATTTTTCCAGATGCTAACTTATCATTATAGCAATAGCAACAGCAGTTAGACTTATATACCGCTTCATAGGGCTTTCAGCCCTCTCTAAGCGGTTTACAGAGTCAGCATATTGCCCCCAACAACAATCCGGGTCCTCATTGAATAGAATAGATGAATGAATAGAATAGAATAGAATAGAATAGAATA